ATAGCGCAGTCGGTAGGCCACCACAGAGCAATGCGGGGCATTGCGGCTATCCTCGGGTTCGACTCCGGTTGCCGCCAGAGGTTTTGCCATATTTCCCTTTCGTGATCTATGTTGTTTTAGCTACTATATGTATCTCATCATTGATAAATGATCATTGGACGGCGATCATGCATGCACTCATGGTGTAGTAGTTTGGTGTTAGATCCTATTCCGTGCGCTCGCGTTAACCGCTACACGTACTTGGAAACCACTCCAGTCCTTTGGATATCTATTGTAATGATAGATATTCTGAAACTTGCGAGCGTCCAGATCTACATTTAGATCGTACGGAACGACACTAATCTTAGGAAAAATGCTAAAAATGATTGCGAAAAGGATTTCTTCAAATTGATGAATAATTTTGAATTGAATGAATTTCGCACTATAAATCTCACTGACAGACACTTATATTTATGTCACTGACATGAATTTTGTAATAATACTTACTGGCTGTACTGTGTGTATCTCTGTCAGTGACATTGATAAAACTTACTTCAGTGTCTTTGTCTGTGATTTCTTGTTAGTTATACCTGTAGAACATCATATATTTTATATTTCTTTTTTTCCAGGCAATGCCCAGCTGCGTCACTTTGGACGACAACATAAAAACGGAACCCGATGCGCAATACACGAAGACTATTCTTCATAGTTAGTGGTTTTTATATTTAAATCTAATTTCTGTTTAGTTTCAGATTTAAAAATTCATTCTTTTTGTGAGATGTGCAGATCACACAGAGATAGATGCATTTTTTTTAAAAAAGGTTTTCAGCATATATATTGGAAGGAATATGTAAGTTTTAGCTTCAGCTTCACCCATTGTTATACTATTTTTCAGGTCCAACTTGTTTGTATAAGAAGTGTGTTGAGCAGAAGCACAATACATCACTGGTGGAATGCTAAAACGGATATAGTCCATGGAGGGAAGCATGAGCAGGCAAAACATATATGCGTTTTTCTTTTTAAATTTATTCAAGTGTTTTTTGATATAGATTCAAGACAGAAGAGAAGAATATTAGCATTGGTAGCTCTAAAGGTCCCCAAGTCATCAGGGAATTGGAAAACATCTATTTTGATATGAATACAGCCGTTGATAATGTGGTATGTTTTTTTTCCATATTTTCATGTTATTGACTGTTTTGTTATTATAGGATGTTAACGATTTTCTGGTTTTGATAAAAAAGAACCCGCATGATGTATTCTGCAGGGAGGCAGCAGTTTTTTTTTCTCGCTTACCGATGATAAACAAGAGCTTCAGCATATAGACTTAGCATGTGATAAAAGTGAAGATCTCACTCGCATGATGGAGCTTATTTTGACTAGGCATTACTGCACAGCATGCGAATGGTTCAGTTCTGGGAACGTATGTTTATTTTTATTACATGCTATTTATAATAGATTTAATCTTTCAGATGCATAGGCTTTATTGCCGTTTCACCTCAGGCAAGTTGGATGTATATCTGTTCTCCAACTGTAACTTATTCTTTAATAATGTTATTACATTATATTTCTACTTAGGTCCATTTTGTCAATGTGAAAAATGTGTGGATCCCGGCTGTCTGCATTTCCTGTTTTTAGAATTAGCTAAGCATGCGCATCACTGGTTCCCCCATAAGGGCAGAACGTCGGGAGAACGCATCGTCAACTCCTACTGCGGCATCTTTTCGTAAGTCATTAACATATTTTTATTTATTACTGTTATATTCTGCGAATTTTAGAGAAAGAGTTAATGTCCGTTTAGTTACTGATGAAGATAAAATCAAGAAATTAGCAAGTAAACCTAACTACAAAAGAACAATTATGTATAACAAAGAATTGGTAGCTGTGGAAATGTCTAAAACTAACATTGTTCTGGATAAACCCATCTATGTTGGATTTGCTATCGTAGAGTTGAGTAAGTGGCTGATGTACGATTTTCATTACAATTTTATACAGAAAAAATATGGAGATAACATTAAATTATGCTATCAGGATACTGATTTTCTTATTCATGATATCAAGACTGATGATATCTACGGAGACATTCAAAAGGATCCTGAAATGAAGAAACAATTCGATTTCAGTGATTATCCACCTTGTCATCCATTGTATAACGAAGAAAATAAAAAAATTGTTGGAGAATTCAAAGATGAATTGAATGGTTTGATAATGGAAAAACTTGTTGCTATGAGACCCAAACAATATGGTTAAAAGATTGCTCAAGAAACACGTGAAGACTTCATAGAATATTACAAACGAAAAAGGTAGGAAGAAATGAAAAATCCCAAACTTCCAAAAATAACAAAACCTGGTGATGAGTCTAAAAAAATCAAAGGTATCAAAAAAAATGTTGTCAAGAATGAGCTGATCCTCGACGATTTTCAAGGAAGACTATTCAATAAGACTGTTGTAAGAAAGAAGCAGCATGTTATTAGATCTCAGAAATACCAATTATTCACACAATGCCAAAATAAAGTTGTTCTGAATGATGTATCTGCTGATCATAAACGATACATCCTCAAAGATTCTTTTGAGACCATGGCTTTTGGTAATTGTCACATCAAACCAGAGGTGCTATGAATCTAATATCAAGCCAAATATTTTATCTCGAGAGTAATATACTGCTTTTGAAGTCGTGAGTTTCCAATAATTTTAAAAATAATAAACAGTAATACCACAATGATGTGTATTGAAATCTTGAATTTGAAATGTTGAGACTTCTATTTTTCTACCTCCCCCATTTTTCAAATATTCTTAAAGTTGGAATAAATCTCCTTATTCTTTGAGTCCTTGGAATAGCAGACCCAATGAGTACCTTTACCTTTCGCAGAATCCAAGTTTAGGTTTCCTACTTCTTTCTCTCTAATTCTTTCTGGTGGTTAAATGTCTCGCATGTAAATATCTTGGAAATTCTTGATTTGATCCGGAGAATCGCTCACAGTGGTGGATTCATACAACGTACCACAGGAAGAACTGACGATTTTTGCTCACTCTTCACTGAACTAACCATCGAATAATTATCAGAAACCGGCACGTAAAAACTTTCTGATTGAAAGGTTTACGTTCACGACATCGATGAACAGTAGCAATCTGATTCAGTTGAAATGATTCCATATACAGAAAAGAATGATGGCTACGAAAACATATTAACTGTTATCGACTGCTGTAGGAATAATGGATGGGTTGTCTTAATAATGAATGGAATTGGATCAGCAACATCTTAAGTACTCGCATAAAATTCCAAGCAACGTAAGCCCTGAAAATTCCTACTGATAAGGGAAAAGAGTACTACAACAAGGACATGGATGCACTTTTCAAGACTTATAGTATACATCATTTCTCGACTAATCCAGATAAGAAAGCTTCTATAATTGAAAGGTTCAACAGAGCATCCGAAGAGTTCTAGTAACGTGTTTGAACTGTCAGACATTGTTGATAGTCAATTTTAATTGATTTCAGACAATAATTTATGTCAAGTTGATCTAGCAAACAGCCCAATATATTGAATCAAGCAACATGACACCGGGAAAACTGACGATTCTCTGTTGACCTATTCATGTATCTGATCTTAGCACACAAAAATTATTATGTGTCTGGTGATAACATGGTACCGTTCTGCTCGGTGACTTATTCTCTGTTGCAGAAATGCAAAGCTTAGCAGTGAAAATAGCCCAGAATGAGAAAAAGTTTATTTAATATTCATGTTTCGACATATTTCTGCCTAATCAAGAGTGTAAGTCTAATCGGAATTCGCTTGTGATGTATCCAGTAGGAGTTGTTATCTCCATAACAAACGTTTCACGGTCGTATTCAAAATCTACTGGTTCGGGAGTGAAATCTGGAAGTTAAACTATGATTTACTACATTTTGTTTTTTTGGAACCATCAATAAAGACGTGCGCAGTTCTTGGATAAAATTTAGCTCCGCGAATAACGATTTTTTCAACAAATACTTCGGAATCCAGTTTTCCATTGGTATCAAGATTCTTATTTGTGATTGTATGAAGATAGTCGTGAACACTGTGATAAACGGTAAACTTTCGGTAACATAATACACACCAACCGTTTAAAAGTGATACCCCAGTATGCATACTCTCCTCTTTCATACGCATGGGTTTCTCCGTCATCAAGATAAATAGTACCATTAGCAAAATCACCTTAACAGAAGCTCGGAATAATCAGTTTTTGCCCAACTTGCGTACCTTTTTGGTTCAGAGCGATGTATAATGTGACTGGTTCGTTTCTAGCAGCATTCGCGTTTCCACCGATTGCTTCAACGATAGGAACAATGGTGCCGCCTCTTTGATAGAGAGGAATAGACGTCAATGTTGCATTAGACTGTACGGCACCAGGCGAAGGTCTTGCTTTTGATGTGTGCCAATCATACCATACCTAAGGTATTATTAGACCAGAGCTACAAACTCATTCTCACTTCTCTTTGTCCTGGTAAATATATAGATGCTATTTGCGCTGATGGTTCCATCACTGGTTTTACTAATAAAGCGTTTCCGATCATCCATTGACGATCTTCATCATAAGAAGATTCATCGGCTGAAAATTCTAACCAGAAGGGTCTGATAACTGGTAATCCGGTTTTCGTGTGCTCATAAAACAGAGTGTACCTGGAGTAAAGAAAAAAATAGATGTTTTGGTGTTATATATTCTACCAATAAGGAAGTAGTTGATATCTGAATTTGATTGACTCAGCTATCGCGTTTTTCGTACTGTCCGCAAACAACCAAGGTTCTCTTCTTTTAGTGTCTTGATGAGCATGGCCTCGGAAGAAAGGTTGAAATGCGCCTGTTTGATACCATCGAACAAGAAGTTCCTCATCAGGATCTCCAAAGAAGCCTCCGACGTCTGCTCCTACATGTGGGATTCCAGCAGTAGACAAGCTGAGTGTCATTGGTATACTTGCCTAGTTTATCAGTTAAATGAGAACGATGATATGGAAACCTTAAGATGGGACCAGTCCGCTTTGTTATCTCCTGTCCAAACAGCTGCAGTTCTTTGAGATCCAACAAAGAAGGATCTTGTGAGAACAAAAGGACGCTTATCTTTTTGAGTCCTTTTCTTCAATCCTTCGAAGGTTGCCTGATGCTGTAAAAATCGAAAAAAGATATTACATGTGCATCCAAACTAACGTGATAAAAACCATAGATGTTGTGAACTTCACGATGTTCCAATCCTTCAGCATGTACTGTATCCTTAGGAAGTGTGATTTCAGGGCCTGAGAAAACGGAAGGCTCGTTCATGTCATTCCAAATGAAAACGTCTTCTGTCGTTCCAGGATACTGAAAATGGTTTATAATTACCGTTTGCACCATGTTATTACCTTTTCAAACGAGAAGAGAGTGCTCCAGTACTCACGAACTTTAGGGTTAGTGAAGTCTAAATAACTTGAATCTCCTGGCCAGCAATTCCCTTCAAATATAGTTTCGCCATCAGCATTTTTAATGAAGAATGACTAAAAAAGTATTTTTCATTAATTTTCATCTCTAAAATTTTGATAACATTTTTTTTGGCGTTCTTGTAAACCGAGTAGTTAAGATCACGTCTGATATGTGGATCAACAATCGTAACCAACTTTCGACCCTGGAAATGACCTTATATTCATAGTTTATTACCTTTCTCTATGACAACTCTCATCATCTTCAAAGAATTACGAAGAAATGAGAATGTCCTTGAGATTGGAGCTGTATAAAAACTAACTATAAGATCTGACCTTTTTAGATAACTCATCAATCATTTTCTCGGGTTCTGGGAATTTTTCCTTATCCCAAGTAAAGTAACGTTTTCCATCCGTGTGCTCAATATCCAGCCATAGGACATCGATTGGAATTCCGTGTTTATCAAAGTTTTCATGAACCTTAAAATAATTAGTATTGAAATAATTAGATACTTGTCAAACTTCTAATAAATCTTTTTGATCATTGTAATTCCATCTCGATTGATGATAACCAAGGGAGAAGAGCTTCAAATATGAAATTATTTTGATGTTTTCTTGAAAAAATTCATACTGGTGGTAATGGATACACTCCGGTGAGTTCAGCTAGCTGTCTAACAGTGTCTTTAGGATGAGGTCCTAACAGAACAAACAAATCTATGATGCCAGACTCTGACATGAAATGAGTGTTGATTTGAACAACTTCTCTGGCTTTCTGTGTTTGATCAGTTAAGATAGTTTTCAATGCTCCCTAGAAATGAATTGCTGTGATGTGTGAAAGAAAGGTAATTACTTTATCCCCAGATGAGGTCTCAACGTCCACCCATGTTTCGGCAGCATTCAGCCACAAAAGACCAGCTGTTCGCTTTCTTGAGGCTCCCACCTTATTTAAAAATGAAATCGTCAAAAACTTTCGAAGTTACCAAATATGGGATGGAACCGTATAGCGCCATAGGGTTGTTTAACTCATACTCGAAAACATCAAGATTGTATAATCTGTATGGCTCATAATTCCTGCAAAAACAAAATCAGGAAAAACACGTCAGCAGTTGTTCATACTTTGTATCTCTTAACGCATAAGATTCGGCATGCTCTGGTATTCCATAAACGTATTTCATTCCGAAAAAGGCAATGTCAACACCAACAGAAGAAGATCCTTGAAGTAGTTTAAAGTTCAATCTATATATCTTCTATTCACTACCGTGAGGTTTGGTATCTTTGTGATCGCCGAAAGATTCTTCCCAGAACCCTTTTTCACGATCAGAAAGCAAAACTTTTTTTTTGTATTTCTCGAAGAACAGTTTATTCTCAGAATTGATTGATTGTACCTGAAAAACTATAAAAAATCCTTTTTGATGCCAACACTTACCAATTTGTCTTTTGCATATAAATCCACACGGAATGGTTCATGTTGAAGAACAACACGATGGCCATCTTTAGTCAAAAGCTTTGTAACAGTATCCCCCACTTTGTTCTTTTTGAATGCTGTTTGATCTGGTTCACGATTTTTCAGCGCGTCTAAAGGCTGATATCGTTTGCGTAGAATGTCGCCGCTCTCTTCAATCAATACTCTAAGCAATACTTATGTTATGACATCTGCTAACGTATCAATACCGAACTATAGAGTCTTTCAATGAAACAATTGTCAATTTCAGCTCCGTATCCTTCAAATTCAAAAAATAAGGATTGAAAAAGGAAAAAATGAGTAACCTCATTTTTGATTTGGGCTGTCAAAGAAGTATCATTCAGTTTAATACTCTCTGTTAGAACTTTATAAACGCTTTTGTCCGTTCTGTCTCTTTGTCGCCTGAAAAAAATTTTACAAAAATTTTTCTTCAATCAGTTAAACTTACTTGCAGAAAGCAGACTTGGAGCATGATTTAAACTTTTCTCTATCAACGGCCGTTACTGTTGACACGAGCAGTGCCACCAACAGGTAGCGAAGCATCATGTAGATATAGGATTGGAAATGAAAGCCAATCACTATCTGGAAAAATGAAAACTTTTTTCTAAGACCTAGAAGGCTGGTTGTATGTTAGTTTTCCTAGAATCTTCTATGGAACGTCTGAAACAACGTGTAAGAATGATATGAATTCAGCAAAAAAAGAAAAAAACTTAAATGAGAGATATAGTATTGGAGTTAAAGAGAAAATTTAAAAGTTTTGCAGTTATCTCATGGAATATGTTAGTTTCGAGGTCAAGAAGAAGGAAAGAAACTAACGAAGAAATTCTCTGTAAATGACAGAGTCTCTGTTGCGCTAGTGACCTATTTCTTAGAGTATTGCAACGTCCTTGACAAATGTACTTCGGTCGAGATCGCATCAGGTATTGGTATGAAAGGCTAACCAAGGTTATTAACAATTATTAAAATCTAAAAGAGTACATATAATTAACGAACATCTATTACATAAAATTTCAAACCTTAAAAATGTCTGCACTTATCATAAGGTTACTGATAAACGTTATTGACAGATGTGTGATTTATGCATGATATGTTACTGCTTCGTTTCTAAAACAATGAATGAGGGCAGAAGCATTCAAGAAGTATGCACCTTATAAAATATAATCTATACAAATATATCCTGAAGAGGATCCTTGTCGCATGCATCCTAACATGGAAAGTTGCTTGATGAATTAATTAGAAGTAAGTTTGTTGTTGTTTCATTTCGACCTTTAGCTCTTATTCTAAATAACAATCTCTGTGAGAATAATGCATTAAGAACTGTAATTCAAAAAAATATCTCATTCTCCCATCTATTTTTTTATTCGAAAATGAAAGTGATCCAACAAAAACATTTCTGTCTATATTCTATAGGCATAACATTATATTTCATAAAACAGCACTACTCAATGATATCTTAAAATTTCAAATGTTTTCATTAATCGCCCCCATATACTTTCTCAGGCCTACGCGAGATTCAATTAGAAGCTGATCAGTAAAGGAGATAAACGGTATTGTAAAAACCATTAAATCATTAAACAAATGATACTTTTTGTTAAGAAAAAACATATGAAATTGAGCGAGAGAATCATTTTATTTCATAAAAACGTTGTGTTAACACAACATTCTATTGCGGTTAGCTTTTTTGAAATCTTTTTTTCTTCCTTCAAAGAAGCTTCGCCAAATAGATTCCGACCCTATCTGCTCACTATTGTAATCCTAATCAGTTGTACCATCTATTTTAGAATGCTGGGGATACCGTATTTGGATAAAATAATATTCGAACTTTTTCGTCCTAAGACTTTGGGAGATGGAATAGATCGTTTATCCAGCCATGTCACCACAATGATTTGTGCCATTCTTGCTATTATGGTCAGCACCAAGCAGTAGGAAGATTGTAAAAAACTTTTAAATATTGTTGGATTGAAGATATGTTGGTCATCCAATTACTTGTTGGGTTCCAAGCGAATTCAGAGGAGAGTGGTCCGCTTATGCTAATGAGTATTGCTTCATTAGCAATACTTATCAGACAAACTTCAACTCGTCTATTCCACGTCATAAAGATAAGTCAGAGGTAGTCGGAAACTCTAGTCTGAAAAAAAAACTGAACTTAAGTATACCATTCGTTACTATCAATGGGTTCCAATGATTCTGTTCTTCCAAGCAATTGCTTTCTATCTGCCAAACTATTTTTGGAAAAAGCACAATTCGAAAGTTCTTGGTAACCATGTGGAACTTCCTTGGTCTCAAGTTGTTTTGTTCTAGGTTTCAACGTAATGGACTATATTGGGGAAACTCGCAAAGTTTGCTACGAGTCTTATTCAGTCCGTTCAAAAGCTGTTAGCCGTCTGGCTAAACTTTTGAATGAGCACATGTCGGATTCATCTGATTATTCCAAAAAGTATTATCTATATGGATACAAAGTTATATGATCTCCATTTCTTCAGATCTACTTTCTCTCTCCGTGGCAAAACTTTTGCTTACTTCTACTTGTTGACCAAACTCTTTTATACTCTCAACGTTTGTATTCAGCTTTTCTTGATTACTCAAATGTTAGGAGTTGAGTTCAATGTTTCTTTCTTGACGGTAATTTCTTTTAATCAGATCTGAATAACAGACGTTTTCAGTCCATTTTTGCTAATGTTAGTGACGATGAATGGCCCACCTTAAGAGCATTTCCAAGAGTTACATTCTGTGATTTCTCTATTCATGATTTGGGAAACATTCGGACATATTCTATTCAATGCTTATTGATGATTAACATGATCAATGAGAAAATTTTCCTTTTCCAATGGTTTCATTGATATATATATATATATATATGTTGATATAAACTGTTTTTTCAGGCTATGGTTTATGATTCTAGTTGCTGCGACAGTCGTCTCTGGATTGATTTGGATTCAAAAACTGATGAGTTTTAGTACTCGTTTAATTATTATCAGAGGATGGCTAAAACGTGCTACCCGAGGAGAAGAGGATTTAATGGATTATGCAGATTTCATCGGATTGGGTAGGTTAAAATGTGAGCTCTTTTTAAAATGTTCAACTTCAGATGGATTTGTCATCATAAACTTCGTAAGCATTATTACTGGCAAAGCGTTCGCTTCAGAATTGGTCTGTAACTCTTACAGAGCTATGCGCAAAGTACTGGAGACTCCTTTTTATGGGTTGAATTTGACATTTTTCATTACAGCGTTATCAGAAGATGAGTAAGATTGCTAGAGGTTCTGAGAAGTTGGATCAAGAAGATTACTCCGATGATGACTATGAAGATGATAACAAGTCTGTTGTCATGCCGAAAGCGGTTGCTTGATTGTGCTTCAATAACAAGTGTGCTCAAATAAATATAAAGCAAGTTGTTTTACCCTTTTGGTTGCAAGTACTATCGCCAAGTTAAAAGTTAACGAAACATGTTATCTCACCATATTCCCGGATGAATTGCTCATTCATCTTTACTTGACTCGGTTCACTTGTGGATCGTGATGACGTATGGCTGAGACGATGTCAAAAGATCCCTGTGTTGTATTCCAGATTGTTATTTATGGCTCACATCTATCTTATCTTCATACTTCTTTTTTTTTTTCAATACTGTTCTCTTCTGACTACTCTCATTCTAACTCATGGCCCAGAGAAATGATAAAAGATCAAATGCTGTGTTCCGAAAGCAACTCAGTGTTTTGTAAATATTCCAACTTGCTTCAGCACTCGACTATCTTCCCCAAAGGTCACATTCAATCTGTCGATTTTGCTCTTCATGTTTTTCTATGAGGGTTTTCAATCATTTTTTCTTCCTCTTCTACGCTATCCGATCAAATGGATTTCTTGTTTAGATGTGGCCCTAAACCATTTTAAGACTTTAGTTTTCAATATTTCTCATAAAAAATTTCATTTTTGAACTTGAACTGATTCTATTGTCTCGAGGCTTGTAGAGCATCTCCCAAGAGGACAATATCTCATTCACATGAAGAAATGTAGCGATGTTTCCTCAAATTCTAAAATTAGTAATGTCTTTACAATTGTCTTGGACGGAATTAAAACTTCTCAAAAGTTGTATTCATGATCAAGCAGCAGCAGCCTCAATAGAAGCATCAGCTCCTTACATATTGCCTAGCAAAATCCTTCAATTCCTCTGTCAGTTTGACATGAACATATGTGATCTTATGAGACAAAAACATATTTTTACTTCCCCAATTGAGATGAACAATTAAATTTCAATCAATCTTATAATCAATTAAATGCTTCATTCATCATTCTATCGAATATACAATGCAATTGCTACTTGAGATATTTCATTTTCTAATTCTTTTACACTTGAATAGCTGAGAGAGGTACATTCAGTTCTCCTATGAGTAAAACTTTATAATGAAAAGAATTTTTTCATATTTCATTCACATCTTTGTTTCAACATCTTATCCTTATAGACAGACGGCTGTTAGTCTGATTATAACTCAACCACATCGGCTTGTTTAGCTAGCTTGTTCAACAAACACATTTTAGACAATTTTCCAAAATCGAAGAGCGTTCAATTCTAATTTTATAATATTCCATCTGTTACATTTATTCTTTTACTAATTGTTTGAGAAGAGTGTTGAGACCGTAAGAGAGAGAGGAATAGAAATGTTCAATGAGCAGATATATTCAAACGAATCATGATTGGTTCGTGAGCTGCTTGCCATTCCGTTTCTATCTATGTTCTATTGACTGTATCTAGCACTATAGTATATATATTTTATTCTGATCATTAATGCTTTTCCGTAAAGTGGAGGGTGGTGAGGAGAGAGAGAGGTTAATGAACACGTCTGTCAGGAGAGTATAGAGAAAGGAAAATAAGAGAAATAAAGAAAAAAAACTAATTTTAACCTAAACTATACTTCCCGAATGAAGTTCTCTAAGTTCCCTTAACCGATGTATTTGTAGTCCAATCCATATAATCTACCAAATGACTTTTTTATTAGTCAAAATAATTTGATAGAGAACTAAGCATTCTTTCCCCATTCACGAATTTATCGTAATTTTTTTAATGTTGAGCCATGCCTCAAACCAAGTACACACACCCCAAATGGATGACGTAAGAGTGAATTAAAAAGACTTGAAAACATATGTGCCTCAAATCACTCTTGCTCGCTCATATTCGTGTAAATTCGTGTTGTTGGATGTGTGTGGAGCACAATTCAAAATTCTTCCGTCAGATTTACGTTTATTCATGTGATGTACATGGTTTTATAAAAATTGTTGAGAAGTCAACGTCATTTGAACCATAAAATCTGAATTCTCCATGGTCTGCATGGTTGAAAACAGCATTTTCAATTCTAAACTGAAATAGTTGCTCTTCGATAGTTTCATATGAGGAACTTGAATCAGATAGCTGTTAATAGAGGATGTTTCATACTCATTCATCCATACTTCCTGTCTTGTCTTGTAATCTCTCACTTCAATGAGTCAGACAGCATTTCTACTTTTTGTATATTCAATACCTCAAGACATCTCTGATGCTGTCGCACACACAACTAATCACAATCCATCATGTTGCTTGCTGCGCAATGAACCCAGTTTAGTAAAGCCGACAAGTAACTTCTTACTATATCTTTTGAGTTCATCTTAGTTTTGTTAAATCTCTCCAGTCGCACATCAAACATGACGTTTACATACTTTTGACAGATGCAGCTCAGACGCCTACACGCTGTCCTCCTCCGCTTTTTGTCTATCAGAACTATAACAAAAAAAAATAGTTTTAGTAGCTGAGCGCATGGTATTGATATCATGATGATGTAAGCCTTGTGAATTGTATTCTCATGAGCCTTAATGGAGCATGCCTTATATAGATATAACTATAAGGATTGCAACATTGTGAAACTTTGCTCATTCAAAAGATGGAATATCTTTCAAATAAACTTCCATATTGAAACATATTGAGATGAATGATAGATAGATTCTTCCTCAATAAGATTCAAATATTATTCTAATTGTGTGCAATCTGTTTTTGTTCAAGTTCTCTCATCCCCTCTGGTATCACTTTTTATTGCGTTCAAGTAGCTCTGCAAACAACTTTGCAGTATAAAAACTTAATATACTTTATTCTTATTAAATATTCTATAAATTGTTATCGTCATCATTTACCAAATATTTGCCTGAAAATTTCTTTGAGCTATTTATTCAACGACGTATATTGTTTGATGAGCCTTGAGGCTATTTTAAGCTTATTTAAGAAACATTTTGTAGAAGGAAAAGCTCATTTCAAGCTTGTCTCTAGACATGTCCGTGGCTCTACGTATTCTTCTGGCTCTTGTTTGTTTTGCCGTCGTTCTGGCTCAATACTCGGATGATGAGATTATGTAAGTTATTCGCCAGCTTTTTTGAACAGAAAAAATTTTGTTTTCATAGCAAAAATGTTAAATGAATGATAAATTAGTGAAAAATATTTCAAAACATTGAAATTCATCCCTGAAATTCTTTTAATTCCCAATTCCATCATCTACAGGGCTGAGAAGCGCGCTATGCGTAATGCACTTGTACGTTTTGGCAGAGCATCCAGTGGGGCTCGTAACGCTTTAGTGAGGTAGGATTCAACTATATCATGATGATGTTTGAACATCTTGTTCAAGGTTTGGAAAGAGATCTGAGCAATCTGAATACGATTCATCTGCTGCTTTTCAAGGGAAGCGTACTGGGCCTCCTCAACCTTTTGGTAATTAAATGCCACAAAATGAAATATGAGATAATGAATTTTTAGTGAGATTTGGCAGATCAGGACAAATTGATCACATGCATGATATATTAGACACTCTTCGCAAACTTGAGTTGGCCAACTTGAAATAAGAACTGGAAGCTGGGCAGTTGTTTGATTGATCTCAAAACAATCATAGTAAAAGTGCAAATTTGATGTGTTCAATTGTATACTTGAGTCAATAAAGTTAATAAATAAATTTCTTTACCCTGATGACTTTTAAATGAATACAAAAAATGAGATATCATCGTTTCGAATTACCAAACAGATTTCAAGACTTCTAATGAATGTAAGAACTGTTCGTTTTTC